ACTGTCCCCCTTTGGCAATTGGGTGGCCAACCTCTCCGCCCCCACCCACCCACCCCCAGGAGAATTTCAAACCCTCCACTGTGTCATTGAATGGCTATTGCTCTGTGGGGGTCCAGAAGTGACCTTCTGGAGATGCTAAAATCTAAAAATGCTGCTAGCAGGAATGACTAGAGATCTTCATATGGATTAGATCTTCCTCTAGAAATGCAGTTTCAGTGGAAAAAGGTCACCTTCTTAAACCAATGGATCATTTCTCTTTTTCTCCAGATTTGTGTCTCTCAACTTTTGTGACGACTTCAATTCCCAGAATTCCCCATGGAACAAGGTTCGGAAATACTCAACCTGCCAAGATTGAGAGAGACATCGCTCCAGACACGTGTATGTCCATGTCAAGGTTCTGACAGATGCCCTAATTAATTCATGAGCCTCGAGCCAAATTTCAAAAGAAATCCAGTTATTTATTAGGAGCAACATATCGGCACATACCCAAGTGGAGTCAGCTCTGCCCGATGTAGTTTACGTCCCACCTATGACCCTGTTCCCCCACTCCTCCCAGGGTGTGTCATAAATCACATTCTCCAATGGAGCACTTTCGCGGGCTGTAGAGAACACACCTCTCCGACTGGCTGTGGTAACCTAGGCTGCGACCTTGACAAGGTATGTGTGGAATGAACTTCTGGTCAGCAGCAAGAGGTCGATACCCCTGAATTGGAAATCCACCACCTCTCCCTTGACGTTTGAAGTAGGATGTCCTCCATCTCTGGTGGGCTTCCATTTCACCATGGCTTCGATCAAGGGACACGGTGCTGGTAGACGGAGATCTTCGGCTGCTTCGGTGGAAATACGGAAGAGTTAAAGACTCCAAATGTTGCTTTGAATCATTGCTGACATAGGAGCCGTTGAGTGTTTTCTCTGAGGATTGCCATCCAATTAAAGGATTTAGCGGTCTTGATTAGGTTTTAAGTGTTTTGATTTTAACAGTTGATTGACTAAACTCGCTGCTTCGATTGAGGCCGTCCACTCCGTAACTTACCCCTCGACTCAGTCAAATGGTGGGGTCTTGATCACTAATCATGGATCCATTTTAGAGGCTTCCATCCATCCTCCCATGAACTGAGATGTTGTGTTTCTGAAGTTCTGGGTTAGAACCATAGGATTGGAAGGGACCTTAGAGGTCTTCTAGTCCAATCTCCTGCCCAAGGCAGAGGAGTCCTCATACCATCTGAGACAAATGGTTGTCCACCAGGCTTAAAGTTGCCAAGGTTGGAGATTCCTAGTCTAGAACCATCTCTGGAACGGATGTGTCAAAGGGGCCCATATATCATTCTTCCTACCATTTGCCTTTTCTGGAGCTTTTATACCAGACAATCATGTTTGTGATGCTTCTCTGCCCTCTTTTTTTTTTCTTTTTTCCCTAATAATTTTGGCCAGGCTCACTACATTTATTCTGCTCACTGCTTCTTGTAACACATTCTGGGAGCTTAAAGTCCTGGTCAACACCCAACAGAACCTGGCCTGAGAAACAGCTCAGAAGTCTACTGAGGCATTTACGACCAGCCGGGGTTAATCTCCATTTTAAATCCCTGGAGTGGGGGGGGGGGGGGAGGACAGGACCCTGCTGTCTCTTCCTCTCACCCCCCCACCCTCCCCATTCAAAGCCTTCCATGCCGTCTTCCCCACTACAGCAAACTGGGTGTCGTAGCAGAGGTGGGGGAATGAAACTGATGGACGAGGTGGACTTCCGTTCCTTGGCTGAAAAAAGAAAAATCAAATACTATGACATAGTTGAAAATCCTTTACAGGCAGCAAAATCCTTTCGGTGCTTTTTTTCTCAAATGTCGCAAAACATTGGAAAAGATCAGAGTCCAACACAACTGGGGAAGGGAAGTGCAATCCCATTTGCTTAGGGTTTTTTTAAAATTAGAAGCAGCCTCCAACCCATCTTAAAATCCAAGCCTGATCTAGGACATTTCAGGCCAGGTTTTCCTCTGAAAATCCTGGTCTGGTTGTCTTTTAACACGACCCTGGGCTCAGTTTTATCCAGCACAAGCCTCCCACCCCTCCTCTTTGGACTTAACGGCTCTGAAAAAAATGTCCCCTCCCCTCCCTCTCTGCAGCCTGTTGCAATCAATGCAGAGAGCAGACATTAAGAGTATTTGCCATATTTGATAGACGCTCATGGAGGCATGGAAAAAGAGAGGGAGAGAGAGAGGGAGGGAGGGACAAAGCACGAGAGAGAGAGAGAGAAGGAAAGAGAAAGAGAGAGAGAGAGGGAGTGAGTGAGAGAGAAAGAAAGAGAGAAAGAAAAAAGAGAGAAAGAAAGAGATGGAGGGAGGAAGAAAGAGAGAGGGAGGGAGGGACAGAGAGAGAGAGAAAAGGAGAGAGGGGAGGGAGAAGGAGAGAGGGGAGGGAGAAGGAGAGAGAGAAAGAAAAGAGGGAGGGAGGGAGAGGGAGGGAGGGAAGGAGAAAGACAAAAAGAGGGAGAAAAAGAGAGGGAGGGAGAAAAAGAGAGAGGAGAGAAAGAGTGAGTGGGAGAGTGAGAGAGAGAAAGAAAAAGAGAGAAAGAGAAAGAGAAAGAAAGAAAAAAGAGAGAGAGAGGGAAGGAGAGGGAGGGAAGGCGAAAGAGACAGAAAGAGAAGAAAGAGAGGGAGGGAGGAAGAGAGAGAGAGAGAAAGAAAAAGAGAAAGAGAGAGAAAGAAAAGGGAGGGAGGGAGAAAGAGAGAGAGAAAAAAGGAGAGGGGGAGGGAGAAGGACAGAGAGAGGGAGGGAGAAAGAGAGAGAGAGAAGAAAAAAGAGAGAGGAAGAGAGAGGAAGGAGAGGGAGGGCAGGAGAAAGAGACAGAAAGAGAGAGAAACAGAGAGGGACAGAGGGAGGGAGGGAGGGAGGGAGGGAGAGAGAGAGAGAGAGAGAGAGAGAGAGAGAGAGAGAGAGAGAGAGAGAGAATTTTCATGTGCTTTCAACATCTCTACAGAAAAAAAGAATAGATGTCAAGTGACAAGGCCATTTGCACCAGGAGAAAAATTGCCACTTAATTGAAGATGTCGAAATTGGGGACCTGTGGCCAGCGCAAACTCCGGAGCCTTCGGCGATCTTCGTTCTTCAAAGGGCTGGAAGATACGAAAAACGCTCAGTGGCGGCAGGCGGAGGACACAATCTGCCAGCCCAGCTGTGCAACCTCTATTTATTTTCGCCCCATGTGAGCCCCCACGGAGGCCCAGGGTGCACGGAAACGCCTGGCAAGAGACAGAAAGAGAAAGAGAGGGAGGGAGGCAGAGAGAGAGAGAGAAAGAAAAAGAAAGAGAGAGAAAGAAAAGGGAGGGAGGGAGAAAGAGAGAGAGAAAAAAGGAGAGGGGGAGGGAGAAGGACAGAGAGAGGGAGGGAGAAAGAGAGAGAGAGGAAGAAAAAAGAGAGAGGAAGAGAGAGGGAAGGAGAGGGAGGGCAGGAGAAAGAGACAGAAAGAGAGAGAAACAGAGAGGGACAGAGGGAGGGAGGGAGGGAGGGAGGGAGAGAGAGAGAGAGAGAGAGAGAGAGAGAGAGAGAGAGAGAGAGAATTTTCATGTGCTTTCAACATCTCTACAGAAAAAAAGAATAGATGTCAAGTGACAAGGCCATTTGCACCAGGAGAAAAATTGCCACTTAATTGAAGATGTCGAAATTGGGGACCTGTGGCCAGCGCAAACTCCGGAGCCTTCGGCGATCTTCGTTCTTCAAAGGGCTGGAAGATACGAAAAACGCTCAGTGGCGGCAGGCGGAGGACACAATCTGCCAGCCCAGCTGTGCAACCTCTATTTATTTTCGCCCCATGTGAGCCCCCACGGAGGCCCAGGGGTGCACGGAAACGCCTGGCAGGGACGTTTGGTCTTTCCTGCTCCAGATGGCGAAGGACGGAGCTACTCGGTGGACTTGGAGCTGGCTTCACGAGAGTCCCTTGGGAGCTGGGCGGCATAGAAATGCGACAAAATAAAAAATAAATAATAAAAAAATGAGGCCATCTCTTCCTTCAACCATGCTTAGAACATTG